GTGTGTTTATACTGCATCTTCATTATCTAGTCAACTATTGATGTGCACTTAGGATGCTTCCATTTCTTGGCAATTATAAATAATGTTGCTGCTAATAGCAGGGTGTATATATCTTTTTGAATTAATTTTTATTTTGTGGTTGGCTTTATTCTTTTGATAACTATGTAAGTTTAAAAAGCTAAAGCTCTAGGCATTCTCAGAAACAATGAACAGTACATATAGGTAAGTTTTCAAAATATATCTGCAGTAAAAAAAAAAAAAGGGGTCTATCAAGCCATGAGAGACATGGAAGAAACTTAAAAGACATAATACTCAATGGAAAAAGCCAGTCTGAGAAGGCTACAAACTGTATGATTCCAACCAAATGACATTCGGGAAAAGGCAGCTACAGAAACAATAAAAAGATCATGGAGAGAGGGATAGAGGGAGGGAGGGATGAATAGATGGAGCACAAGGGATTTTTAGGGCAATGAAATTATTCTGTGTGATACTATAGTGGCTACATGTCATATGCATTTGTCAAAGCCCACAGAACATAGAATATAAACAGTGAGCCCTACTGTAAACTATGAACTTTGGTTCATAATACTGTGCCCATGCTGGTTCATCGATACTACCAAACATGCCACACTGATGAGGGATGTTGAGGCTAGGGGAGTATGTATGTTTGGATGCAGTGGACTGTGTGTGAACACGCTGTATTGTCTGCTCAATTCTGCTGTGAACCTGAAACTGCTCTAAAATAATAAAGTCTTTTTTAAAAAAAGAGAATGGATTAATTTGTGATATAATCTTAAAGGACAAATTATTCAGGCCTATAAACAGATTGAATAGCATATTCAGTTAAAAACATGTGTCTTTAAAAACATTACTTAGAGCAAAGGAGACAGACATCAAAGTGCACAGTCTGATTTATTTCATTTTTATCAAGTTCAGCCACCATCCAATTGATGGATACATGTCGTCAGAGTTTTATGTTTCCGATGAAATGTGACAGAGATGTATATTCTGTGTTCATGGATGTCATTCAAACATATGGTTCATACATTGACTTTTGGATACTGTTGAGGGTTAGGAATTTGAAAACTGTGAAATCATAAACTTAACATCGATACATTTCACTATATATTTATTCTATATAGAGATAAACACAAAAAGAAAGAGGTACGAAAAATCACCATTGGACAGTAAGGGAGAGAATGACACTTTGGTTACAACCCCTCCCCCGACGCAGCCCCTCCCCCCCACACTGGTAACTGACCCATCCGGGATGTCAGTTGCTGGCTGGGTTCCGGGTGGAATGTTGGGGTGCCCCCCCTGGGGCTTGTTGTGGCTGGGGCTCCACGGTAACCAGGCAGAGCCCTGGGAGGGTCCGTGCCATGGAGGGGCTGCTGTCCTCCATGGAGCTTGGCTTTGGGCTGATCCTGAGGGAGCTGAGCGCGGGTCTGGTGTGGCTGCTCCCCGATGGCCTGTCTGCTCAGCTCATGCTCCAGAGCCTCCAGTGGGAGACACTGTTGAGTCTCCCTGTCCTCACCTCCTTCCTGGCTGTCTTATTTGGCTGCAGGCTCACTCACTCTGTTAGAAGTCGCCTGTATCACAGACACGAAAAGCAGCTGGCAGAAAGACTGGCTGCCCAGGTCGAAATGAAGT